GAAGGAAGGAAGGAAGGAAGGAAGGAAGGAAGGAAGGAAGGAAGGAAGGAAGGAAAGGAAGGGAGAGAATACCCATTCCTAAGAGGTCTGTAAGGGGCGTGCATAAGCGCACCATCGTGCCTACCGTCCCTGTCCTAATGTCCCCATTTATTCCTACCTATTTCCTGTATTCTTACTCATGTTTATACTTACACCTATTATCTTGTAAGCGGTTGACAAATCAAATCAATAAATAAAAATAAATAGATCCCTTGGAGTTTAGAAGGTTGGAATGTTCTGGCATCGTGGAGGTTTGGAGAGGCAGCCCTGGTGGGCTTTACTGGGGGTGCTTAATTCTCTTTTCTCTCCTTGCAGGTGGGACACAAGTCATTTTAAGAGGTCTGGAGGGCTGGAGAGGGACAGCTATATCATTCACCCTGAGTTCGTTTCAGAGGCTTATCCCACTCCGCCATGTTGGTATTAAGAGAGTCGAGAGAGACTGCCATTAAAAAGTGCCACTGGTGACGAATTATGCCGTGGGCTCCGTTGAATTCTCTTTCCCCCATAACCACCACCACCAAAAAAGGCAGAGGGCCAAAGAAACAGGTCTCGGTGCGGCCCTTGGCGCTCTCTGAGCTTGGTGGCTTTCTTGCAGATGTTTCATGACCCAACTAGGTAACAGCATCAGTGCTAGAAGGGACGGGGGGGGGGGGTTGCTCTCTGTTGATGTACAAGGGGTCTGCTCTATCAGCATTGGTGAGAGTATGCTTGGTGGTTCCTTGATTGGATTGTGGTCTTGTCTCTGTTGTGGCCTGTCGGCTGCCGGTCTCTCCAGCAGCCGAATCGGAGGAGGAGGAGGAGGAGGAGGAGGAGGAGGAGGAGGAGGAGGAGGAGGAGGAGGAGGAGGAGGAGGAGGCGGCGTGGGAGTCAGAGCCAGCATCAGGGCAACCCAGGAGCTCCCAGGAGGAAGGGGGAATGGAGCTGGCAGAGTGGGAGAAAGAGACGGAGGCAGAGCCTGTGCCGTCCGTCAGACCTCAGATGGAGAGTCAACAGCCCCCAGGCCTGGAGGTGGCTGATGAGGAAGAGGAGGAACAGCTGGGCCCAGTGCCTGAGGAGAGGAGAGCAGTGGAAATCTATGGGCCGGTCCTTGGGACGGAAGAGCCACCGCTGCTAGCGAAGCCCCACCCTAGCTATGGGGATAAAAGGCAGGGGGCGGAGATGAATAGATCTGGCAGACAACTATTCCTCTTCTGGACGGACGGACTTGTTAGCCTGCGGTGAGAGAGAAACTGTTTGCCGGGGCTCCTAATAAAGGAATCTTTGAGTTGGTTGTGTTTGGGGGGAGCTGGGTCAGAACAGCCTCACAATAATCCAATCAAGGAATAATCATCACCTAACAACTAGTTGGGTCATGAAATGCCTGCAAGAAAACAATCACAGCTAAGAGAAACACCAAGGACTGCATAGTACTTCCTCGTCCTCCTCATCATCCTCATCACCACCACCATCACAAATCCCTTCTAGCACTGATGACGTTACCTAGTTGGGTCATGAAATGTCTCCAAGAAAACCACCAAGCTCAGAGAGCACCAAGAACTCCACTGTCCTTCCTCCTCCTCCTCCTCCTCCTCCTCCTCTTCCTCCTCCTCACCACCACCACCACCACCACCATTATAAATCCCCCTCCCTTCTGGCATTGATGATGTTACCTAGTTGGGTCATAAAACGTCTTCAAGAAAACCACCAAGCTCATAGAGCACCAAGAACTCCACTCTCCTCCTCCTCCTCCTCCTCCCCCCTCCTCCTCCTCTTCTCTGCCAACCCCACTCCTTTCTAGCACTGATGATGTTACCTAGCTGGGTCATGAAACGTCTGCAAACTCACACAGCACCAAGCTCCCCAGTTCAATCCTGAGCTACAAAGATTCTTTTCTATTGGAATATCTTTTTTTAGCTAGCAATGGGGAGGGGGAGAAACCCTCCCCTCCCCCGGCACCAACCCCAGCCTTCACCTCTTGCAAAACAGGATGCAACCTAAGTGGAATTTTGCCTCTCTGAGCCCAGAGCACCACACTTAATCCCTGTTTTTAAGGCTTAGTTAGAGACAGTTGGAAAAAAAAATCATCTGAATTGCCTCTCTCTGTTTGTTTCCGCTGTTTAATTTTTTTCCCCCTTAAAAACCCTCTTTATCTGGAAAACAAGCCATAAAGAAATGCAACTCGAGGCCCGACAGGTGGTCATAAAGAGACTGCAATTTCAGGACCGATTAAGAAAGAAGAAAAAAAATCCACTTAACACACACCGACACAAGCCATAAAATCCGAAGGTGCCCGGGAAACGAGCTAGTCTAAAGGTTGTTAAGAACACAGCACGGAAGGAAGGGCGGTTCAACTTCAGAGGACTCAGCAGTGTGTGTGGTGTGTGCGTTTGTGTGTGTGTGTGTGTGTGTGTGTGTGTGTAGGGAAAAGCTCGTAACACGTGACAATCTGCAAAGCGGTCTCACCATCAATCCACCTTCAGAGTCATTAAAAGATCTAACAGGATTATCAAAAGAGCACACGTAAGTATGTACACACACATGCACAAACACACAAATACATTTAATTTTATTTTTAATTTTATTTTTAGTGTTGACTCCTGGCAATGGCAAGGTTTTCTTGGCAAGGTTTTTTGGCAAGTGGTTTCGCAATTTAGCCTTCCTTCCCAGGGTTGAGAAATGAAGGACCGACTGGTTCTTGTTTGCTTATTTACTTATTTGAGTGAAATTATTGTTGACTTTATTTCTTCTTGCAAGGGCTTGTGGCTTCGATCAAAGCCTGAATGTAAACAGGAGATTAAAAAAAAAACACCCAGCACACAAATCACACTTTGTAAACCATAGGACAGTGGCGGCTAACCTTATTGGGCTCCTATGCCAAAAATTGCGTGCGCACGTGCCGCATGCCAACACCCAGAAGGCAATGTGTGCGGGCCCTCCCAATGCCCCCTGAGCATGTGCACACGAGTCTCCCCCCCCCCTGCTACCGCCCCCTTACCTGCACTGTACCTCCCAGCTAATTTTCAGCCCGTTTGAGGCCTTTTTCAGCCTCCCAGAGGCTCGAGGGAAGCCTCTGCAGCCTTTGTAGGCCGAAAAATGGGCCCGTTTCGTATTCTGGAAATACAGGAAGTGATGAAACAGGCCTGGTTTTCGGCCTACGAAGGCTGCAGGGGCTTCCCTCGAGCCTCTGGGAGGCCGAAAAAGGCCTCAAACGGGCTGAAAATCAGCTGGGAGATGAAGTGCAGGTAAGTTTGCCTCGTGTGCCCGCACAAATGGCTCTGCGTGCCACCTGCGGTACCCGTGCCATAGGTTCACCTGGCTGTAAATCAGAAGGCGTCTGACGACAAAACTCGTTTTTATCAAAAGCTTGGCCTTCCAATTTTGGGCTTCCAGTTCTCTCCTCCTACTCAATTCTGCAAAATCGCTATAAAAGGCTACCTCCTTAGAAGTACCCACTGCATCTTAGAAGAGACTGTCTTCGCAAACCCTGAATCCTGGTTGGATAAAAAAAAAATCAAAGAGTTTGTTAATACAGATATATTAATAAAGTTCCCCAGAACACACCCAGCCCACAACCAGTGTGAGGAAAATGCAAAGTGCCAGGCATGAAGCCATGATGCAAATCTTCCATTATATGGATGAGGTTTGCCAGATATCTTGTCTCTGTGTGTGTCTGTGTGTGTCTGTGTGCATTTAAAATGAAACATTTCTTGTTTATGAAAAGTAGCTGAGGAATCAAGATAACCAAGAAGAATCAAGCCTTCTTTCTTCTCTTTTTCTTTTTCTTCCTTTCTTTTTTCCTTTTTTTTCTTTCCTTTCTTCCTTCCCTTCCTCCCTCTTCTTTCTTTTCCTATCTTCCTTCTTTCTTTTTCTCTGCTTTTCTATTTTTCTCTTTCTTTTTTCTTTTTCTTCCTTTCTTTCTTTATTTTCTTTCTTTCTCCCTCTTCCTTTCCTTTCTTCCTTCTCTCCTTCCCTCCCTTTCTTTTTTGTCTTTTCCTTCCTTTTTCCAGTTTTTCTGTTTTCCTTTCTTTCTCTGTATCTTTTCTTTCTTCCCTCTTTTTCTTTCTTTCTTATTTTCTTTTTCTTCCTTTCTTTTTTCCTCTTTTTTTCCTTCCTCCCTCTTTTCTTTTTTCTTCCTTTCTTCTTTCTTTTTCTCTGCTTTTCTATTATTCTTCTTTTTCTTCCTTTATTCTTTCTTCCTTTCCTTTCTTCCCTCCTTCCCTCCCTTTCTTTTTTGTCTTTTCCTTCCTTCCTTTATTCTGTTTTTCTCTTTTCTTCTTTTCTTTTTCTTTTCTTCCCTCTTTTCTTTCTTTCTTTCTTTCTCTTTCTTTTTTTCTTTCTTTCTCATTTATTTGCATGGCACCTTTATTATCCTGTTTACAAATAACTCACAGTCTCCTGGTGATTGGTTGGAAGTCATGCAGCTGGATTTCATGGCTAAGGTGGCACTAGAACTCAGAGTCTGCTGCAGATGGATTGGCCCAAAGTCACCCAGTTGGCCTTCAGGCCTAAGGCCAGACTAGAACGCCCTGCCTCCCGCTCTTTCGCTTGGTACCTTAATCCTGAGACCAAACTGACCTTGCATGCCTCTCTTCCACTTCTCCAGCTCCTGGAACAGACTTTAGTGGGACGAAGTTTTTCCTAAGCTGAAGCTTTGCTGGGAAGCTGCCACTTTTAGAAGCACTCATGGTGGTTCTAGTATGTAGCCTGGTGTCTTTCCTTCAAGGTGCTTTTTGCTTTTCTCTTTAACTCTGGACCAGGATTTTCCACAGTTGGCAATGCTAAGACACACGGACTTCAATTCCCAGAATCCTCCCAGCCAGCATGCTTTAAAATGGGTGAACTTCAACTCCCAGAATTCCCCAGCTAGCTTGATTTAAGATGGGTGGACTTCAACTCCCAGAATCCCCCAGCCAGCATGCTTTAAGATGGGTGGGCTTCAATTCCCAGAATCCTCCCAGCCAGCATGCTTTAAGATGGGTGGACTTCAATTCCCAGAATCCCCCAGCCAGCCTGCTTTAAGATGGGTGGACTTCAACTCCCAGAATTTCCCAGCCAGCATGATTTAAGATGGGTGGACTTCAATTCCCAGAATTCCCCAGCCAGCATGATTTAAGATGGGCAGACTTCAACTCCCAAAATCCCCCAGCCAGCATGATTTAAGATGGATGGACTTCAACTCCCAGAATCCCCAGCCAGTCTGCTTTAAGATGGGTGGACTTCAACTCCCAGAATTCCCCAGCTAGCATGATTTAAGATGGGTGGACTTCAATTCCCAGAATCTCCCAGCCAGCATGATTTAAGATGGGCAGACTTCAACTCCCAGAATCCCCCAGCCACCCTGCTTTAAGATGGATGGACTTCAATTCCCAGAATCCCCCAGCTAGCATGATTTAAGATGGATGGACTTCAATTCCCAGAATCCTCCCAGCCAGCATGCTTTAAGAT